TCAACATCATTAGCCATTTAGGGAAATGCAAATTCAAAGCACAGTAAGATAAGATACCACTTACACATTGATCAGAATGGCTACGATAAAAAATAGCAATAGCACCAAACAGTAAGGATGTGGAGAAACTGGATTACTCACACTTTTGCTGGTGGGGATGTAAAATAGGACAGCCACTCTCAAAAACAGTTTAGCAGTTTCTTTAAAACTAAACATGCAACTACCATACAACCCAGCAATTGCACTCCTGGGCATTTATTCCGGAGAAATGAAGACTCATGGTCACATCGAAAACCTGTGCAGGAATGTTTATAACAGCTTTATTTGTAATAGCTCAGAAATGGAAACAACTCAGAAGATGTCCTTCAGTGGGTGACTGGGTAATAAACTACTGATCAGTCCATTTCACAGAGTACTACTTAGCAATGAAAAGAGACAAACTATAAACACATGCACAGACCTGGAGGAATCTTCAGAGAACTATGCTGAATCAGAGATTTCAATCCTAAAAAGTTACATACTGTGTTATTCCACTTAAATCACATTCTTGAAATGACAAAATTAGAGAAATGGAGACCAGATGAGAGGTTACTGGGGAAGGGGGTAGGGGCAGAAGGGATATGGGTGTGGCTATAAAAGGAGGGATTTTTATGGTGATGGAAATTTTCTGCATGTTGACTGCATCATGTCAATATCTTGGTTGTGATATTTAACTATCATTTTATAAGATATGTAGGAAACAAAGTATCTCTATTTTTTTCTTACAACTTCATGAGACTCTACAATTGCCTCAAAATAAATGTAATTAAAAAAACTCAAATACCTCAGTTAAAAAAAGTGGGGAAAAAAACCCTAAGAAAGTTTATAAACCATAAAAGGTAACCCCCCCCCCACATAGCTCATGTCTCACTCTTGTCTAAAACCTCCTGTGGTGTTGCATTCAGTGCACATGGAGGGAAACCCCAACTTTCCACCATGGAGAAAGACCCCATGCAATCTGATTTCATCTCCTACACTTTCTCTTGTGTCCCACTGCTTCCATCACATCACCTTCCTCCTGCTGTCCCAGCACATCAACATGTTCCCACCAAGAGCTTTTAGCTCCTGCACTTCTCCCACTTGGAATGCTTTTGTTCCAGACCTCTGTGTGGCTGGAGGTTTTCCTCACTTACCTGGTTGTTCAGATACTACCTCCTCTAGGAGACCTTTCTTACCATTCTGTCTACATTAGATCTTGCCTGCCCCACCTCCCATTGTTCAAGTTCATTTCTTTTTGAAGTATTTATCATGCTTTAAGTCTCTTTCGCAGATTTATTTTCCTTGCTTACTGTGTGTCTGACCCTCCCCTGGACACAGTAAGCTCCTGGAGGATAAAGAACATCCCATCACCAGGACAGCATAGTGGGTACTCATGACAACAGAATGAATAAATGCCCAGAAGAATTATATGTGGGAGAGATGGGTCAGGAGCTCTCTTTAAACAGATGTATTTTAAAAAATGACTGTAGAGGGGTGGGACATATAGCTCACTGGTAGAGTGTGTGTTTAGCATGTACGAGGTCCTGAGTTCAATCCCACTACCTCTATAAACAACGACAACAACAAAACTGTATTGTTCTACTCCTGGAGAAATCTAGAGACACTGAATTCTTTTAAAGGTAAAATTTAGAAGTAGGGGCAAAAAAGCACATCTGCAAGTAGTTTTCAAGTAATGTATGACTGACCATGAGTCAAGGACGGGGAGAAGGCATCACTTCACTTTACAGGACAGCTGTATTGCTGTGTGTTGACCATAAAGTGAATTTATTTATGGGACTTCTATATTCTTATCCATTACTCTGATACAACCAGGTATTCATTCACACAGAACAGCAGACACGATTTGAACAGGAATCCATTTGTAGAGGGAGAAAGAACAATGCTGGCCAGTTAGGTGATGTAAGGCCACTACTGTCCTCCAATAGGGCACTTTCTGAGGGCAGAGCTTTGCAGCACTTTGTCAACTCTCTGAGTTTCTATACCACCATCTCTTTACGGTCTTTTGACCACAGGAATATCACCAGGCTTGGGGAATGCTTGACTTCACACTGCAACCATGGGAAATTGATCACTGATTCAAACCCCTGACCCCGGCCAACCGCCAACCGCCCACAGCGGACCCTGTACATGATGTGTAATACCACATTTCACCAGTAGGGGCTGCCATTAATTCCACCATAAGGGCAAACCTGACTGGAACGCACCGTTTTTCAGAGACTGTCCCCTTCGGACAAGGAGCTGCCCTTACCCTGCCCCAGGCTTCCCCTATTCTCCAGGATCAGTACAGCTGACTGGGAGTAGCTCTAGTCCACATCTCCTGGCAAAGGCCCCTCCCTTCCTCTCTACCTACAGCTGCTGCTGTCAGAGCTGTTGGCTGCCCTTTGGTGGGTAGTGGCTGAGTGGGGCTTAAGGGAACTGCTGGGGTACTAGCAATGCTCTGTCTCTCAGTCTGGGTACTGATCACATAGGTAAGTTTACCTTGTGAAAATTCATTAGGCTCTATAGTTATGATCTGGGCACTTTTCTGATGTATGTCATACTTCAAAATAAAGTTTACTTAAAACCTCTGTAGATGAAATATCCTTAATATATAGGATGTCTTAGTAATTTCTGGAATCCCCACTATAGCCTAAAGAAGGGAAAAAAAAAAACCAAACCAAAAACCAATTAGAACACCCTGGGAACAGACTGAGCAATGTTTTTCATTAAGGTAGTTTCTCAGGTAATTTCAGGCCTTACTTATTTCTTTTCAAGTTATGGAGTCGGGGGTGGGGGTTGAGGGGTGAGGGGCAGGGAGAGTTTGGTTTTGAAATGTTTCCAGCAGGTTTTGCTCTTTGTTCAATCGCTGAGACTCATTACCCAAAGGGCTGGCACACCTGCTCCCATTTTGGTCTCAGTGGGGCTTGATAGCAAGCATAAATCCAACCCTAGGGGCCCCAGAGACTCTGGGGCTAGTGAGAACTTCTAACGCCACTAGCTGTGGACCCCAGGCCAGGTGCTGCAAGGCTCAGAAAGCAGAAGGGTGTGTTTTCTGCTGTGGGGCCACTCCTGCTGTCTGGAGAAGGCTGCTCCATGCTCCCCACTCTCCACTTTTGGTAGCTTGTTGGCCAAACTTGGCAAGAGAACCCATGCTGCCCTTTTGGTTCAGAGGCCTATTTCCTTTAGACTTCACAGTCTCCACTGTCTTGGAGGGACCCCAGAGTTCTGCAAAGCCTCTTCTGGGGCAAAGGGATAAGAGGCTGGTGCTGGCGCTAGACTGCCTGGGTTCAATCCCAGCTCTGCCACTTACCAGCTGTGTGACTTTGGGCAAGTGAGTCACCCTCTCTGTGCCTTGGTCTCCTCATCTGTTAAATGGGGAATAAGAACAGTACCTCCTTCAAAGATTGCTTGTGAGGATTAAATGAGTTATCCTTATAATATGCTAAGAATAGTTCCAGGCATATAGTATATATATAATATATATTTTAGCTTTAAAAAATCCTCATTTGTATCTTGATATCATTCATTACAGAAGGGGTCTGAGGCCAGAGAGTTTGGGAAATGCTTCATCGACTTTGTGAATGAGGGTATTCAGGCTGTGGTAGAGATATTCGGGTAACTCAGTCCTGAAGTAGGGGAGCCAATATTCAGCCTGTTCACAGGTTGCTATTCACAACTGGTTGTCATCTGGGCTGCAATGGGGTGTTAAATATTTTGATATCATCCCTGCTTAAAAACACCCCTGGGAAATACTGGAGGTCCCACCTCCCTTGGTGAGGCCATTTTTATGACGGAGATCACTTGTAAAGCACTTATTAAGGGGCAGGGACAATTGATTCATTGTATCTTTACAACCACCCTAAGAGGTTAATACAATTACTGTCTCCATTTTCAGGTGGGGAAACTGAGGCAGAAGGAAGTTAGGTAACTTGACTAGGTCACAAGGCTAGTAGGTGGCAGAGTCAGGTTTGAATCCCTGCAGTTTAGTTCCAGAGTCCATGCTCTCAACCACTGTGCTACACTGTCCCATGTGGCCCACTGAGAAGCCCTGGGGTATGTGATGGTGGCCCACAAACTCCTCAGAGCCTCTCAGGCAGATGGGTCCCCCTGGTGCTGCCATGGCTGTAGTGGTGGGACATTTGCCACGGTCTCCTCCTGCCCTTGGCTCTCCCTGCCCCGGGATGGCTGGGGGATGGTCACAGACACATGCCCATTCTCACAGTTCTCCACTGACACACACATGCAACACACTGCGTGGCCCACCAGCAGGACTGGATGTCCATATGGAATCGCCAAACACGTGACCCTGAAGAGATTTTTTTTTTTTCAGAGCTGATC